CAGTCGGGGAGAAAGAGCACAATTCGTCGGGGAGAAAAAAATATTATATGTATTTTTTACATATTAGTAGACTAGTAGACTCTAAAATCGATTAAATAAGCCTTTGAAACCCATAAATTGTCGAAATTTTCGGGGGCTTCGACCACTTTCGAAACCTTTTAATCGAAGCTCGACCACGCCAACTTTGCTTTCGTCGGGGAAATCTGACACCTCGTCAGGGGCACTGGCCCCCTGTCGGGGACCTCGCCCCCCCCCCCGTCGGGCAAATCCTCGAGCCACCCCTGGACAAAACTCGTCTAGCACTAAATTATATCAGTAATATGTTGGTAACTTGTGTATTATTTGCAAGCTAATATTATTAATGCTCATTATCAGGCTAGTGCTAATGACAACGCAGATAAAGGCAGACGAGATATCATACTGTTACCAATGTTAGCGGTATCACAGATACATAATGTTTAATGACTCAACGGCAATATGGAGATATAGGCACGTGGGAATGTACCATTTGGGAACAACACATGATTCCCCTTTATCTGGCTACTGAGAAAAAAAAACCCCAGTTGAAATGTTTATTAAGAGCAAGATATGACCATCCCATATTTAGTGATATCTTACAAATGACGTGTTCATGCTTATCAACGTTCAGTCCCTACTGTAGCAGCAACATAATTCCTGAGTACTAGGCCTATATAATGTAATAATCAGCGACTAGGTAAAAATAAGCCACGTTTTTAAAAAAAACGCTCATAGTTTTTGTCGAAATTGGGCGAGTTTTCCAACCACCTACGAATCACCACCCACCCCTCCCCCACAAGTAACTTGTGCCATATGTTAATTAATTATAAGAGCGGGTACGTTCATTTAATTTTTTAATATTGTCAGTTAAGCTTGTGAACATTTAAAGAATAGGATAGGGTTGTTAACGAGAAGAGAATGAGATAAGATAGATAAAGGTATTCGGTATTCATCATAATAATGATGAAGATACGATGATGATGATGATAATGATGATGACTATGGTGATGATGACGATGATGATGATAGTATACGTGTAGATATACTCCTTCATTTACAGTAACTCGAATTACTATGGCTGGTTTAACATTTATATATGGTCAGAAAATTAATGTATTTTTCAGTTAGTTCAGTTTTTGTAAAATTTAGATAAAATTATTGTTTCGACAAAACTCGTCTAACACTAAATTATATCAGTAATATGTTGGTAACTTGTTTATTATTTGCAAGCTAATATTATTAATGCTCATTATCAGGCAATAATGCTAATGACAACGCGGATAAAGGCAGACTAGATATCATACTGATACCAATATTAGCAGTATCACAGATACATAATGTTTAATGACTCAACGGCAATATGTAGATACTGTCTCTTATACACA